GATATCCAAAGCAACAGTCTGAGCTTCATCATTCTTATCTAAAGCTTGATAAATTCTTTCAGCAATAACCATTAACACATCAGTTGACCTAGAGAAGCAAAAGTTATATTACTTGTCTGAAAGAAGACCCTGCAAGATGAGATGCTTAACCAATTTGGAGTTGATTAGAGCCTTTTGTACTTTGCCAAAAATGATAGAAAGCTGATACTTAGAAGAATCAGATGGTTTGCCAGAGTTCTTAAAGTCTGGAACACAGAAGATTTCCAACAAGTAGGAAAGCAAGAAGCAACAAGGAATTTATTTATTGTAGAAATCAGAGAGGACAAGAGTACATTTCTTAAGGATTATTGCATAGATACCATTTGTTGGAATCCAGTTTAGAGATAAGAGAAACCAAGGAAGGAGTTATTTGTATATCACTCAATAAAGACTAAGTGGAAAGTCAGGCAAAGATACTCCAGATGAGAAGTGTAGAATTTGAAATGAATTTACATGTAAAACATTCTACTTTATCAGCAGATGTTAACACCTCAAATTGAATGAAGAGAGAGAAGACTTACTCTTATTTAACACGCTATTACAGTGCTGCCAGTAGTCATGAGAACCAAACTTGTTAGAGGCTATATAACGCCTCAATCTATCAGCAAACACAGACTTAGCCTCTTTGAGGACAAGTTTATAATTATTATGAGCATACACTATCATGTTGGTACAGTCAGAAAAAGTGATTCCTGTGGGCTAGATCATATGAACTAACAAGATTCTGGTTTCACCTTGTATTTCTGAGAAGGAATAAAAGCATCAATGCCAGTTTTTACCCAAGAACAGACCTTAGTAGCACAGTTTTCTTTACAAAGGTTAAAAATTTCACTTCAAGGGATATTTTGAAGAAATCCTGAAAGGAATCCCAATCTGTACACTGGTAGCAGAAAGAAGTCTTATGAATAGGAGGTTTATGTGTAATAGACAACTCGAAAGAAATGTCAACAGATACTACAGAGGACAGTTGGGATGCTTGACAAGAGCCATAAGTGGAGATAAGGAATAAATCAAGTGAAGAAACCTGTAGATCAGAATTAGTAGGGAAATCCACTATTTGAATGAGAGACTTTGCAATAGAAAAAATTCAAAGTCTGAATACCTTTAATGTTAGTAACAGTAGAATTATTAAGTCACTTGGCATGATGAACATTATATACAATAGAATTTCCCAAATCCGAGCATAGCATAATCTAGACTTCCTGGAATTTGGAATCATTTTCAAATCCAAACTTTTGTATTGACAAATCAGAACAGTACCCTCAATATCAAACATTTTGGATGTTTGATTTAGAGGAGTATATCCTTATTTTTGACTTCCTTTACAGATTTTAATTGTTTTTGTAGAAGATATTTCTTGCCCATAATAATGTCACTAAGTTCAAAAAGGAAGAGAATTACCTTGGATTTTGTTCAAAAACATCAAATCCTTGAAAATATAGATAAAGGAGTAAGTAGCTCAGTTCTAATGAAAGAATATAATATTGTAAGAAGCACATTTTTCTATATAAAAAAAACGGAGAAAATTTTACAAGCCGCTTTGTCCTTTGAAAATAAAAGGAGAAATGCTTCATGAAAA